TTTTTTTTTTTTTTTTTTTTTGGTCACTGTGAAATTAAAAAGGTCTATGTCAGAGGGGTTTCCACAATTACTTGGTCCTCTCCTCTGCTCTACAACGCCAAGAAAACCAGAAGAGGAAAGATCCTTATATCTATGACTGCTATATCAATTTGGAGATTATTTGGTCGTTCAGTATGCTTTGGTGTTCCATTTGGTGAAAAAAAGTTTAGTAATCAAGAAACCCCAATTTGTAAAAGTTTTTCAAATTTCTATAACATTTTTGAACCACATAATGTTTGGCAAATACTTTATATTTTGCTGGATTTTTCTATTTATGTACATTATCTGTTACAATTTCAAAGTCCTAGACTGGTTGCATATCTAGTACTTGGGAGATTTGTTTCTGTCTTCTGGATTCAAGCAGAGGGGGAAAGAAAAAGCACTTTGATGGATAATTTTACTAAGGGCAGGGGTGGGGGTAACAGGAAGAAAAAGAACCACTAGAAGGCAGTGTTTACTGGTTATGGAAGAGACTCAGAAGCAGAGGCTGATTGACAGAACCAAATAAGGCAGAAATTAAATTAATAAAAAAAGGTAGCCATTAAATGCTCAATAAGGGTAGCAATAAATTTCAGGTTTAGTGCAGTAATGAAGCAAACCCAGAGAACATATTCCAGTAGTCAGAGAGCTACAGGAAGGAAAGAGATTGCGCAGTACCTAAAAGGAATAGCAGAGGCTTTCTTTCTTTTGTTTTAAATATTAAATATAGCAATTTTATGAAAAGTCTTTATGGAGAGAGAATGTGAAAATAGCAGATATAACACTAAAAGTGCCAGAGTGAGTTTCAAAGATAGTTGGAGGAATGGGCTTCACAATTCAAGTTGAAAACTTAGAAAAATAATCTCTTCTTCTAGACCAGTGTTTCTCAAACTGTGGACTACACAGACTCTCAATACATGAGAGTCATTTAGGGAATTTTATTTAAAATACACAGATTCCCTTGTCCCTACCATGGAATTATGAAACTGGAATTTCTGGGGATGAGTTCTAAGATTCCCAGATGACTCTTGTGCAGCATTCTTGTGCATTAACATAAAACCCACTGTTCTAGAAACTAGAAAAGAAGACTGAGAAAATAGATTGAAATACAGTGTCATGCTGAGGTGATGCTCTAGAATATGTAATGGAGGATATCCTGAATGTTTCAATCCTTGCGGATAAGAAAGTAAAACTGCTTCAAAACAGGAGACTAAGGGACTTGCTAAAGTGGAAATGTTCTGATGACTGAGCATGGAAAACAGGTTTGGTCTGGGTGGTGGAAGACTGGGAAAGCTGGCATTTATATTTAAATATAAATCTAATATAATTCAAATACAGTTTTTGGATCATGTGTTATTTCAGATCACCTTTGCCACTACTGTCCTCCAGGCCTGTCTAATTCTGACCCCAATATAGATTAGGACTACACATGGCAGTGTCAAATACCAAGGCCACAGCCGTGAGGAATGTCATTACCATGCTGGGCACATAAGGCAAAGACGACTGTCATAGTGAAGACATGCCAGATTTGGAGATGAATAAATAGTTTCCAGTCCCAAGGATTGAGTGACATAAACATATTAAGAAAAAAAAATAGAGAGATGATGATATAGATAGATGATAGATGATAGATATAGATAGATGATAGATGATGATAGATGATAGATGATAGATAGACGATGATAGGTAGATAGATGATAGATAGATGATAGATAGATGATAGATAGATGATACATAGATATAGATAGATGATAGATAGATAGATGATAGATGATAGATAGATAGATATAGATAGATAGATGATAGATAGATAGATAGATAGATGATAGATAGATAGATAGATAGATAGATAGATAGATAGATAGATAGATAGATAGATAGATAATAGATAGGTAGATGATAGATAGACAGAACACCAAGTATTGCTGGCAAGCAAGGTGGAAAAAAATGCATACACACACACATATAAACATAAGGCATTGACATTTGTTTTTCAAAAAGGAAGCACAAACCACAAATCTCTGTAATATTTTGTTTTGTCACCTATAGGAGATATTTATTCAATAGTCAATGCAGGAAAATTACAGCAACCCAATAATTAACAAACTAAAATGTAATTGACTTGTCATTTTTTGCTTATTATATTGGTTCTGTTATGTCTCTAACTTTAGTGTACCACGAAAAAAAAAGAGTTATACAATTCCAGAGCCCCTCTCTTGCTTCCCCAGTTTTCATTCTTGCTTACTATTTTAAGTTTTAAAATAATATTTATGTAATAACAAAAATACAAAATAACCTTCCACTACTTTCTTTAAATCTCAATTTGCACAGCAAGAGTGACCTCTTTTAAGGTTCCGTGGCCTCTGGTCATTTAGCTGGCCAGCCCAACAAAGGACATGTATATCAATCTTAATCTAGACCCCATTTTTAATTATTCTATATTCTGCAAGATTTTTTTTTCTCAATGTGAAACTCTAAGGTCTGAATCACCCCTCATTATATGATAGTTGCCAAATTGGTATACTTGGTGTTGACAGATGCCAAGTTTCTAACCTTCATATATATCCTGTTGAGGGTAGTTATCGAAAGAGTTCCCATCACATGCAGATTTCTTTGCTTGCTTTATCATCTTTACTTTTCAACAAAATGCAAATTTCCAAAGAGCTAACTTAGATGTTGCTTGACCTTTTTATTTACTTTTACTTCTTCAGAGATTCAGGAAATAAGTCAAATGCAAAGAAACTCCAAATCACTAAAAAATAATGCTCCAGTGACCAAAGCAACAGTGAACTTTTCACATCTCTAAAAATTTGACATAAAAGAAATTGTAAAAGGGGTGCCACTTTTCTGTTAGATTTCTTAGGGTTTAGAGCTGGATGTTTGGGAAGGGGGAATAATTATGCATAATTTGTTCAGATAATTAAGGCCTTCACAATAAGTTATAAAATTACTCCTGTATAATAAAAATTTAGAAATTGTTAGAAGTTAAGGACTTTATGAGGCTTTCATGAAGTCTGTAAAACAAGGACAAGCATCTATGCTTGGTTTTGTGTCTTATCCCTACTCCTACATTAAAAACAACCTTGTCTTTCTCCCTCCACACCACCACTAACCCACAGAAAAGTAATATTCCACTGGACTGCAATGTAAAGATTGCAGCCTTTCTCCTTATCTCCTCCGCTCTCACCAAGTTCTTATGTCCTGGGGCCATGACCGGGTCAGCTAGTCTGGGCCATTTCCCCCCATTTTGTGTGTGTGTGGCAATAAAACCTTTTCTTCTTTTTCTTTGTGTTTGGAATTCCTTGCTTTATCATTTCTATGAAGTCCTTTCCATTCCTGTCTTTAGTCAATTTTAGAATGAGATTATTTCAGTTTGCCCATATACAGTTTCACATATTTGCCCTAGTTTGCTTTTTGTCTCTTTCTCTCACCATACATAGAGAATGTTGGAGGAGGGTAACATTTCATTCGTTGGTTTAAAACTTTTATTTGGGAGCAAGTCTAGCCAGAATATGAAAGTTTTGTTCAGAAAGAAAACTACCAATTGAGGCCTCCATATTCATGTATGCACTGGGTGCATGTAGGATGGAAAATATTTATCTTTTAAAATTCTGTGACTTTATCTTCTAAAACTGCATCAATAACCACAATGCTAATATATGTAATACAGCATGTTTGTTTAAGGCTAAAAGCAATTTGCTAAAATGCTATCCACGTGCATCACCTCCTGCTCCACACTGTTATAATGTAAAATTATAGAGGTGAGGCTTGGGGAATGCCCTATTTTTAAGGTAGACAAGTGTCTTCCACCATCAAGGAGACATTTATTAAATGCCAAATGTGAGTAAAATTGAGGTACTGCATCCTTGAATAGTCCTATATCCTCAAGGTTAATATTTAGCTTTTCCTAAAGCAAGCAGGCTTGAACTATAGTTGCCTGGGGATCATTCCAGCACATGCAAGCTTATTCCCTTTCAGAGAGTCCAGGGGCCCTTTGCATTCAGGAAAGGGTGCGAGTGAAATGCCAATCTAAAAAGAGAACTTAAAAAACGAATTTGGGTGGGATCCAGTATCTGCCAGAAACCAGATGCCAATGGAATAAGCGGCGCTGCTAAAATAATAAGTCTGGTAATAACGATGGCGATAATAGCTCACCAATCAATTACAACTTTGGAAGGAAGCTGAGCATTAGGAAAAAGGAGAATCCACAAACGAAAACCATGAGAAAACGGTAAATCTGGTTAGCTAGTAGAGAAAGACTTTTGTTTTTAAATTGTGGTGTGCAGAATTCACTTCTTCAAGCAGCGTCGAGTTCTTTTGCTCCCGCAATACCAAATCGGGAACGGTGCCCTGGCAGAATAAAACGGTTTTAGAAAGTACTTTTAGAAAGCGAGAGAAGTGAAACTCCAATGCTTTAACTTTCTAGCCCGCTGTCACCTACAAGTAAAGGTCATTCTGCGAGTGGGCATCTCTGCTGGCGAAAGAAGGAAACGACGAGGGGGCGGCGGGGTGATCCGGAGGAGTGCTTTTAGGAAGCCATGCTTCGCTGCTCTCTTTGGCCTCTCGTGGAGCCCAGCTAGGACAGGTACAGGAGCGCAGCAACACAAAACGGGCCACTTTTACAAAACGTCCGTCTGTTTAGGGTCCGCATAACCGCCACCAATTCTCCCTCCTCCACCATCCCCGGTCCCTTTGCCTTTCCTAGAGTTTGGCGCGGCTCCAGTGTCCAGGGGGCGCCTTTTCCGCAAGC